AACCACACCACTTCGATAAATTACTGTAGAGATTAATACAAAAACTGGGGAAAACCAACAGCAGGGCTTGACGCTTACTTTTTCCCCAAAGAGTACATGTGCTCATGAGTTGAAAAATGTAAAAGCGCATTAAAAAACACAAAGCAAATTTTTCAAATAATGTGTTTTCAATGTGTTATCAATGCAGCATAGCCCTGATGAATCTGTGCTCATGAGTTGAAAAATGTAAAAGCGCATTAAAAAACACAATGCAAATTTTTCAAATAATGTGTTTTCAATGTGTTATCAATGCAGCATAGCCCTGATGAATCCTTCTGGCCTGATGGCGCATGTGCTCTCTCAGGCTAAGATAACACAAAGCACTCTTTTCATGTGTCCCAGTGGCCTAATGGATAAGGCATCAGCCTCCGGAGCTGGAGATTCAAGTCTCACCTGGGTCATCTTTGGTAAGTTAACTTTAAGTTGGCTAAACAATAAATTCCAGCATGCTTCTATCAATGCAGCATAGCAATTGGAATTTGTGTAGTTTTTTGTGCATCAGACTGTCAGAGTACACCTCTGGCCTGACTGTGCATGCAGGCTGAAGATACACAAAGAGCAAAAGGCCTAATGGACATGGCCTCAGCCGCTGGAGCTGGCTACTGTGGGTTCAAGTCCCACCTGGGTCATTTTCAGCAGGCTACTTTTAAGTTGGCTGTGAAAGAAATTCCAGGATGATTCTATCAATGCAGTATAGTTATTGTGAATCCTACTTGACTGATTGCGCATGTGCTCTCTCAGGTTAAGACAACACAAAGCACTTGTTTGAAGTGATCCAGTGGCCTAATGGATAAGGCATCAGCCTCCGAAGCTGGGGATTGTGGGTTCAAGTCCCACCTGGGTCATCTTTGCTAAATTGGCTTTGCAGGAAATTCTGGTATGCTTCTATCAATGCAGCATAGCCATGGCAACTGGAATTTAGAATTTGTGTAGCTGTGGCAGTTTTGTGTGCATCAAGCTGTCAGAGTACACCTCTGGCCTGACCATGCATGCAGGATGATGCGCAAAGAGCCAAAGGCCCAGTGGGCTAATGGACAGGGCTTCAGCCTTTGCAGTTGGCTACTGTGGGTTCAAGTCCCACCTGGATCATCTTTAGCGGGCTACCTTTAAGTTGGCTGTGAAAGAAATTCCAAGATGCTTCTATCAACGCAGCATAGCCATGATGAATACGTCAGGCCTGATGGCGCATGTGCTCTCTCAGCCTAAGCTAACACAAAGCACTCTTTTCGTGTGGCCCAGTGGCCTAATGGATAAGGCATCAGTCTCCTGACCTGGGTATTGTGCGTTCAAGTCCCACCTGGGTTATCTTTGGTAAGTTACCTTTAAGTTGGCTTTGCAATAAATTCCAGGATGATTAATTTAGAATTTGTGTAGCTGTGGCAGTTTTGTGTGCATCAAGCTGTCAGAGTACACCTCTGGCCTGACCATGCATGCAGGATGATGCGCAAAGAGCCAAAGGCCCAGTGGGCTAATGGACAGGGCTTCAGCCTTTGCAGTTGGCTACTGTGGGTTCAAGTCCCACCTGGATCATCTTTAGCGGGCTACCTTTAAGTTGGCTGTGAAAGAAATTCCAAGATGCTTCTATCAACGCAGCATAGCCATGATGAATACTTCAGGCCTGATGGCGCATGTGCTCTCTCAGGTTAAGACAACACAAAGCACTCGTTTGAAGTGGAACTGGCCAGTGGCATGATGATGAATCCTTCTGTCCTGATGGCGCATGTGCTCTCTCAGCCTAAGCTAACACAAAGCACTCTTTTCGTGTGGCCTAATGGATAAGGCATCAGTCTCCTGACCTGGGTATTGTGCGTTCAAGTCCCACCTGGGTTATCTTTGGTAAGTTACCTTTAAGTTGGCTTTGCAATAAATTCCAGGATGATTCTATCAATGCAGCATAGCCATGATGAATCCTTCTGGCCTGATGGTGCATGTGCTCTCTCAGGCTAAGATAACACAAAGGTCTCTTTACATGTGACCCAGTGGCCTAATGGATAAGGCATCAGCCTCCGGAGCTGGGGATTGTGTGTTCAAGTCCCACCTGGGTCTTCTTTGGTAAGCTGGCTTTGCAAGAAATTCCAGGATGCTTCTATCAATGCAGCAAAGCCATGATGAATCCTTCTGGCCTGATGGCGCATGTGCTCTCTCAGGCTAAGATAACACAAAGCACTCTTTTCGTGTGGCCTAATGGATAAAGCATCAGTCTCCGGACCTGGGGATTGTGCGTTCAAGTCCCACCTGGGTTATCTTTGGTAAGTTACCTTTAAGTTGGCTTTGCAATACATTCTAGGATGATTCTATCAATGCCGCATAGCTATGAAGAATCCTGCTGGACTGATGGTGCATGTGCTCTCTCAGGTTAAGACAACACAAAGCACACTTTCGAAGTGGCCCAGTGGCCTAATGGATAAGGCATCAGCCTCCGGAGCTGGGGATTGTGGGTTCAAGTCCCACCTGGGTCAACTTTGGTGATTTACCTTTAAGTTGGCTCTGCAAGAAATTCCAGGATGCTTCTATCAATGCAATAATATGCCACAAATGCTGTTGACTGAGTCAACTTAAATTGAACCTGGACTGACACATTGCAATACCTGATACCAGATGACATACTTTGTAATGGGTATGCCTGTTTTTGAACTTTTCTATTTTTATTGCAGTTTTGGGAGCACCAGTTGAAATGATCAAGAACTTACCTGCACATACGTTTATTCCAATCCTATCTACACCACACCAACTTTTCTGCTTTTGTATGGATAGCTGACTACTACCATGCTCAGAGTATATTGGCAAAAAAAAACTATATAAAACTAACATCACAACTTGCCAAAATGGTAAATGGTTTGTCTTTGATGGGCTGCATTTAATTTGACTGTGCAAGAAATTCCAGGGTGATTCATTCAAATCAATGCCATACACATGAAAAATGCAAATATAAATATAGATAATATATAAATAGTCTTTAGATCAATATATAAAGTTTTTAAAATGTTTGAGTCAAGCAAACAACTAACGGTGCTAATATACGCTCAAGGTGTGCTGTAATACTACAGAAAATTCATGATCCTAACATTTATCTCCACACTGAAATCTCAGATGGCCAGACATTGATTCATTATTTAGGAGTTGTTAAAATACTGGTGTCCGGGATGCTGTTAGCCTGGAGACTAGTGTGTACACTGTGAGTTTTCCGAAGCTTAGCTTAAATGTGTGATTAGAATAAATAGTGCTCATAAATGGCTGTTGAGATATTCTCAGTTGAAACGAGTTGAGTCTTTGGACCCAGAAAAACAATTTTCCTTACGTCATGGCTTAACAAGAAGACAGAGGTTTAGTCCAGCACCTATTAAAGTCTTTTCATCAATCTACATTTTAGCAGCTCATTTTCATGCAAGGCTTGGTTTAATACTTACTAAGGTGAATGAATTTATACAGTATGTCTCCATATAATCAGGTTTTAGTAGGCAGTCTGAGGTGACAGTGTTCATTTTTACTTACTCTCTTTTCATTCTCATTCCATTCTCCTTTTATGATCAGTTGCTCTAAGATTCTGTAATTGATCAAGTTTTTTTATTTGTGTAGCACCATTTGTAAAAGAAGAAAGGAAGCACCATTTCTAAAAGAAGAGATATAAAAAGTTAACACAAGAAAATATACTTCTCTGATGACATAATATGTTAGCACTGGTCAAGGATGCAAGGTTTGCACTGTATTTATGTGTGGTCAACATTCAAGACTGGTCTACTTATGCATTTTTAATGTGCATTAGTGTGGATGTCTGTCCATGTGCATGTGCAGGGTTAATTGTGCATTATTAATGTGTGTCCGTGCCAGACAAAGATTGTGTTACTCTACACATACACATGTGGGAACACGTCTACACCTGAAATATTAATGCCATTTATTTAACTGTTACAACCAGAGAATTTTCTTCAGTGGAAGGAACAAAGTAAACAATGAAGAAAGTGAGACATTCAAACAACGAACAGTCGTGCAGTAACTGTAAGCCACATATTAAGTTGCCAATGAGCCAATTTGCGAACAAATACAGGATTAAAGGAATTATTGTTTGAAAAAATTGAATAATCAGTAACTAACTGTTCTTTTGACACATAGTGTTACCAAATATATAAGCAATTGATTGCATCTTTAACTCTTTCCCCGCCATTGATGGAATTTTCTGGCTTGCCATGTTTCCACTGTTAGACAGTAGGAGGCGCTATTACACATCTTCTGAAAGAGTATTGAATCCATGGATCAAAACATGGTGAAGAAGAAGCAGAAACAAGCGATCGCACATGTAAAAAACATGATCATCAATCATTAAACAGCATTTAAATCAAAACTGCCTACACGCTAAAAAATGCTGGGTTAAATATAACCCAGCGCTGGGTTAAAAAGGGACAAACCCAGCTATTGGGTTGTTTTGATCCAGCTATTGGGTTGTTTTGATCCAACGGTTGGGTTGTTTTGAGTCAACCGCTGTTTGTCCCTTTTTAACCCAGCGCTGGGTTATATTTAACCCAGCATTTTTTAGAGTGTAACGTTACCGAATGAAATGTTGATCTAGGAAGTGTCTTAGGGCTGTGAAGCTTTGGGTGTGTTGATGGAAGCAATTTACTCCATCTATGTTTTAATCATCTATCTGAATTCCATACAGACGTAGTCATTGACAAAAACACAATTTTCTCAGCTTTTTGTTAAAAATGTTGCTTTTTTATGAAACTTACCCACATTCAGGTGCTGAGAAAAAAGAATGCATGAAGCTAGAATTAAACTTTTTGTTTGCTTGTTCAAAGCAGAGGCTCCGTTCTTTCTTTTGACATTTTGCATGTTCAGATATTCATACAACAAAATATTCTGGGGGCCATGAGATTTTTGTAAAAATTATCAAAAATGATGGCGGTGGCTGGCCACTTTTTTTTTTAAATAACGCTGGTGGGGAAAGAGTTAAGATGTAAACGGCTCTAGGTTGCCTTGGCCATGACAAGGATACTCATGAGGAAGACCATGATGAAAAACACCCACATGAAGAATCTGTCCATCACCTTGGCAACCTTCTTCCACTCGGCCCCTTTGGCCTGGTGTGCCCTCTGCTCTCTGAAACAGTTAGCTATGTACTCAATGTTTCGCACCACTTTCTGATGTTGGCCACAGGCGCATACAGATCCTGTGCCACTGGTGGTCTTATTGCAACTATCTGCTCCAAAGGTTTTGCTGTAGCTGTTATCGTGGTGATAGGCGACTCCATTGAGATAGCCATTGCCGTGATCGTAGGTGTATCCATTAAGTTTTTCTGGAATGGAGAGTTCGCTATCTTTGAGTTTCTCCTGGCTTGTTAGTGGGAGCTTTTCGCTTCCATCTCGACCAATGTAGTGTGTGTATTTCGGATGTCGGATAGGGGAATTTGAAGATGAGCGGGTCCTCCTTTGCTGGTCATGCCTATGATGCCGATAGGCACTGTTGTTGCGACGGTACCCATTCCCATGCCGGTGGTCTCTGTGGCTGTAGCCGTTAAACTGACTGTGGTTTCTCTCATCATGGTGACAGTCTCCATAAAATCCTTTGTCAAAATACCCATCTCTCTCCAAGCTAGCCAGTGGGTCCTCAGAGAACAACGGGCCTCGGTCGCTTTCAGCTGTGGTGCAGTTCTCTCCTACCTCATACACAAAGAAGATCTTTGACATGTAGTCTATTATCAGGACTTTGGCCCAGTGGGGCACAGGTTTGGCTTCCGCTCCACAGAAGTGTATATTCATGATAAAGATAGTCAAAGATGTAGAGGCTGTTATCATGGTCATAGTTGCAATGTAGTATTTTCCTATAGGAAAGACACAAAGAAGGGATAAATAACAAAGAGGCTATACAATCACACAATCAGTGTTTGGGATTGACAACCATATGCACTCGAATTGTTCAACAGTTTATTGTATGTCTGTATGTCCACTTGTCAATGCTTATGACAAAAGACAATAAAGCTTGTTTTTCTTTGCATGATTATATTTGTACATCTCAATATTTTTTTTTCTATTGACTATATCGGCCAGCTATAACTAGAAATCATTCATTTCCAATGGAAAGTCGTATTAAGTCATATTGATGAGTACTATGTACAGTGCTGGGTAGATTACTTACAAATTGTAGTCCATTCCTGATTACCAAATTTTAGTTACTTACGTAATCCATTACCTTACACATTTTAGGTAATATAATCAGATCACTTTTAGATGACTTTTGGCCTAACTTGTTTATAACATTGTTTTAAATAGAATAATATTTCAGGGGGATAGTAACTGCAGGGGGTTTGTGCTTTTTTTTTTCTTTTCTATTCTTTTTTTTTTTTAAGTAATGCTTATAACTGAAATCGTAAAAATGTAAAATTAAAAGTAAATCTTCAGGGGGATAGTAACTGCAGGGGGTTTGTGCTTTTTTTTTTCTTTTCTATTCTTTTTTTTTTTTTAAGTAATGCTTATAACTGAAATCGTAAAAATGTAAAATTAAAAGTAAATAATTTTATCATTAAAATAAACACTAAAAAAGATTAAATATTTTATTTGTTCACCTGCATGTCATGTGACCATTAACCAACATTTAGAAATAATGTGAATTTGTGCATTTCAATGTGTTTGTAATGTAATACAGTTGTAAAATGTAATCATGTAATCAATAAAAAAGTAACCGTGGTTGCATTACGAGTATTTTAAAATGTAATATAATCTAATTACAAGTACTTTATTTTTGGAATCTGATTACGTAATCCAGATTACATGTTATTAGTTGCTACCTAGCACTGACTAGGTACACTCTAAAAAATGCTGGGTTCAAAACAACCCAACCGCTGGGTCAAAACAACCCAATAGCTGGGTTTGTCCCTGCTTAACCCAGCGCTGGGTTATATTTAACCCAGCATTTTTTAGAGTGTACTCTGAACTGATGAACTGATAGTTGATTGCAACTTCCACTAGGGGGAAATTGAGCCATGAGCCACTATAATCATAGTGACATATGGTTATCACTTTTGTTTATAGCCAAACTGTGCAAACCACATTTACAGGAGCGACAACAGTATTCTGTAGCCAGAGAGAAATTAAAATGAGGGTGAGTAAATGATGACAGAACTATTCTGCTCTACTGTAAACTCACCAATTAGTGGAACGCTTTCTGAAGGTGGCATACTCTCAGCCACCATCAGCTGAAATACAGTCAGAGCCAGCAGCACCGTCACCCCCAGTGAGACCTTCTCCCCAGAATCAGCTGGCAGGTAGAAGCCCAGTGGAGCCAGGAAAGAGATGAGGAAACACGGCAGAAGAAGGTTGAAGATGTAGAAGGAAGAACGCCGCTTGAGCAGGACTGTGTATGTTATGTCAGGGTATGGGTCCGAGCAGCAGCCGTACATTATGACGTTTTTAACGGCCGGCATGCCATGACACTCCCATTCCACATTTTCCACAAAGTCTGAAAGGTCTCCACCCTCCATGCCCATGGTGATGTCCACCTGGGGTTACAGTGGATATGATAGGACTTTTAGTAGGGGACAATTCAAAATTCTTTCTACCGATTCTTTCTTATATTCTTTCTTATATATGCAAACCATTTTTTCTTCTTTAATAAAGGTTCCATTTATTTTTATGTTTTTTATGAGCAGTAGAAATGAGGTTCCCGTGCATGAAGACAACGCAGAGGTCAAGCCACTATACATTTTATACAATTGTTAATATTCTTCCTCGCTATGTGTTTGTATATATTCCGATTTCACGTCATAATCTGTGGATGTTGAGTTTTTGTAGTTCACCCAAAAATGACATTTCTGCCTTCATTTACTCACTCTTATGGAAGCGCGTTTCCACCACTGATAAAAAAAATAAAAAAAAGGTAATTGTGACTTTTTATTATTATTTTTTTCACAATTTAGAGTTTGCGTCTCACAATTCAGACTTTTATTTCTCAGAATTGCATGATATAAACACAATTGTGAGAAAAAGTTTAAATATAAACTTATTGCATTTTCTCACATTTCTGACATTTTTCTCGAATTTTTTTGACTTCTTTTCTCAGAATTGTGACATATAAACTCGCAAGTTATAAAATCCAATTCTGAGGGGAAAAAAAGAGTTTATATGTGTTTATATGTGAGTTTATATCTCACAATTGTGAGAAAAAAAGTCCGAATTGTGAGGCAAAAAGTCACAATTACCTTTTTAATTTTTCATTCAGTGGCAGAAACAGAATTCCATACACCCTCCCCTTGTTCCAAACCTGTATGAGTTTCTTTCTTCTGCTGAACAGAAATGAAGATATTTTGAAGAATGTTGGTAACCAAACAGTTGACGGTAGCCATTGTATTTTTTTCCATACTGTGGAAGTCAATGGCTACCACCAGCTATTTTTTTTTTTTTACCAACATTCTTAAAAAAAAACAAAGATAGTGTTCAACAGCTGAAAGAAATTCATCCAGGTTTGTGGAGGGTAAATAAATGATGACAGAATTTTCATTTTTGGGTGAACTATCACTACGGATATTTCAAATACAACAGTTGACTTGTGTGTACTGAAAACTAAACTTTTTAAATGAGCAAATCAAAATGTGTTGAAATGCCCCTGTTCATACCTTTTACACAGATACATTGTTACATTACAGTGTGTGTACATTTTACATGTATTCAGATACAAAAAGTTTTTATCCAAGTAACTTATTGGAATTATTCAACACAAGTATGCATATACTATTGTACTTGCTATACAGCTGTCCAGTGCATATACCTGGTTGCCATTGTAGGTCCAGGAGCCAAAGGTAAGGTTGCACTCCTGACTATCAAAGGGGAAATAAGAGACGTCCACCCTACAGGAACTCTTAGTGATGGCAGGGGAGTCCCAAGTGATCTCACCATTATACCGCAACACCACATTCGTGTCTGGGGGTCCCGAGGAGTCCTCCTCATCCGCACTGAGCGAAAAAGTAATATAGAGATCAATAATTCAGTCTTCTATGTGTCCATTAATCAAATCTGAGCCTGCTGTCTACATATTAGTTAAGTCTGAATGTTTAAAGTTATGTACTGTTTACATGAGCAGATTTGTATTTTTTCCTGTTTTATGCAAGATGTTGTGTGTATATGTATTTACTTGTTATACAGAACGATGTCTGGTCTCCAAACAAGGTTGCCGGGTATTCGAATGACCTCAAGTCCATCATACTCATCTTTATCCCAGCACAGATAAGCATCATGCCAGATCTGACGCACCCACAGGTATGTGGTCAGCACCTGGTTCCTTTCATCCTAGCACAAAGAGTCAAGCACAAAGCAAAAGCAGCTGTCATTTACAGACCTGCACTAGCCAAATCATACGAAACAGCCGAATCTAAGAATTTATGTTATTGATGTCTCGCCATTTTGGATTTGAGCTCTGTATACATCAGTTATTTGATTTGTGAGTGAATAACCACCCAAATCTGGGTCTATTTATCATCAAAGTGATCACAGAAGACTTATGCACTGAGGATTACTTTCACGTCACCTTTATGTCCTTTTTGGAGCTTGAAACCTCATGTGCTTGCATGCTCAAATATCTATTTTTCTTTGAGGTAACAGTATGGTATGTTAAGACCAAGTATTCAGTCGCACGGGGTCTTGCTCTGCAAGATAAAACCCTGTTGTTGTACATGGAACACTTTCTCACAACAATGAAGAATGAAAGCGAAGAAAGTCTGAACCCTTAGGTTGCACTTAATGCCTTCTACATATCACATCTCATTGGTTAAAAGTACTCCTCGGGTTCAGTAAATTAATATTTGATTGGGTTTGATCAGGGCGGAAATTCAGTGCCTCTTGAATGAGAAATGCATTGTCTCTTTCTGGAACGCACATAAACAGTGTCTTATATAACCATCATCCACAGACAGCGCACACAAACACTGACATAAAACCACACAATTACAATTACAGCAGTTAAACAGATTTCTGTCATCATCGTCACTGCAAAACTTTCTTTCTTTCTTTCTTCTGTGGAACAAAGAAATATAAAGATCAACGTGGTCCAATATTTCTAAATAAATAAATAACTTCCAAAGAAGAAAGAAATGCTTTGGACTGAGAGTGAGAAAATTATGACAGAATTTTCAGTTTTGGATAAACGTTTACGCACCAACAAGATTATAAAAATAACAAAATCTCAATGTTTTGATCTAGTCTGTTGTTTTCTTAAAGGCACAATATGTACGATTTTTTTATTCTTCGCTTCGACGGCTTTCAGCCTCACCCTGCTTCATTCTACTACGTTAATAAATCATTAGCTCATCCATGAACATGATTTCTGCCCGAGTCCTGTCGGATTGCGTCGGCTGTGGGGATGAAGACCACAACTCCCATGATTCCACACTCAGTCACTACGTCATCAAACTACGCCTTTGTTTGTTTGTTTATTTTGAATACGCTCCCTCCAGTGGTGAAAATTACATATTGTGCCTTTAAGTATTAGCATAACATCACCTGCAAAGAATGTGTTCTACAGTAAATGTGTGGGTTCCAAAAGTCTGAAACCACACTGAAAATCTTAGATTCCAAATTAAATTTGAACATGGAAATAAATAAATATTTTAAGATTTTGAAAATGTAAAACAAATAAATGGTATGGCGTAAAAATGAATAAGAAAAATTTGAGCTTCTGCATTCATTTTAGTCAACTAATCAAATAAACGTACTTGTGACATTGTGCATAAAGTCAGATGTTATTGCCTCCACTGAAGCACAAGATTGATTCTTTAATCATGCTGGATAACAATTTTGTAGAAACGTGTGCTCATTTCAGCTTGAGTGCTGTGGCAATTAAAGCAAAAGTTATAATTTGCTAATTCAGTGTTTTACTCAAATTGCAACACTATACACACACACACACACATTCCATATTCTCCTTATTTTAAAGCGGACATTACTTTTGTGTAAATAAGTAGAAAATATATATAAACTAATAGAGAGAAAAAAACTAAGACGAGTAACACAAATCTTATTATCCAACACATTTGTAGGTTACTTCATCACACATACTGATGCACTGAATAAACACTTTGAAGGGAGAATAAACATGATCCGCAGTGGCACACTTGGTAGACAGTGTTATACATTAGTCACGCAGCTCACACCATACATACACACATATAATGTTTACAGTGTCACAGGATACAGAGAGTTAATGAGAAGAGGATCCACACAATAAACATTTGAGAAGTACTGACACCTAGAGGTATCCATTATAACTGCAACTGTAGTGGGGGGCAAGTTTGTCCAAATATTATTTGGACAAAAATCTTTTTTCTCCACTGATGGTCATTCAAATGTGGCTGTGTATTCATTTGGATTAATTAATTGTTTTTGTAAACAACATAAAATATCCAATGTAAAATCTGTGCTAAAGCAAAAGCTTCTTGTGCTAATCAAACATGTAATGTAAGCTTCACCAGTGAGAACATGCTTTTTTAATGGCTAGGCACCATTAGCAAATGCTTCCAATACATTCATTAGTAGTTCACTGTTGTTATTTAAGCACTAGGCCTGAATGAGTGTGAATTTGAGCTAGGCATGTATTTTCAAAGGTTAAAATTTGGGGCAATTGTGCAATCTTTGCGGTTTTAGCATTAAGTCGCCAAAGTATGATCAGAACATACATGTGCCATGCCACATCAAGGCCAGTCGGACAGCGTGTGGGTGTTTTGCTGGTGAGATATACTGTATGCCTTGATCTCGTGATTTCAAACCCACTGTTTCTGCAGTAGCTCTGATGCATGTAGCTGTAACCTCATTCTGTTCTATCATTCAGTAAAAGCATGAGGTAAAATAGGTGCAATGTTCCGTAGTCGTGTGTGTTTAGTGCTCACCATATCTTTGATCTGTGAGAGTGTGATCTGTAGAGTGACGTTAAGGGCTTCGTCTGTGTCCTCCACAGGCCGTAAAGCGTTAGAATAGTTCTCCATCAGGTCGTTCAGCAGTTTTTGAGCAAAACGACCCTGAGCAGAGAAAACAACTACAGCGGACAATATAGTTATTCAGTTGTTTAAACTTAAAATAAGCTTAAAAATAATGCATATGTTGAAATACAAACAATAAGCATTATGTAGTATATATCAAATTACTATTTATACATGTATGAATGTGTGTGTGTGTGTGTGTGTGTGTGTATAAAAACAAAATACATTAAAATCTGGATGTAATTATAAAAGTATTTCTGAATCAGTATTTTCATGTGGTTTTACTAGAGTTTTTCCAGAATATATATATATACTGTATATGTATGTGTATAGTTAGTTCAAGAAAATTAGTAATTAATTCTCTGAAAATCTCTTATCTGACACAATTTTGCTTATCAAACAAATTAATCTTGTTTTAAAGGATGTTTAGTTATTTTACTGAAAAACAAGGCAAAATACAGATTAAGTCAATTATTTTAGCATCAGCATTAAAAGGAGCATGAACTTACCATGTAGCAACATGCTAATGTGAATCACAAGAAATATGATCTTCATTTTTCAGAAGAATGGCAAAAAATAAAATAAAATCTGCCAGTTATTATTTGACCCTTTTTGGTCAAATAATCCTCATTTGCTGTCCATAGTCATATGTAATTTGCTGCAGAGGAGGAAAGAGAAATTGCGAGAAGTTCCATATCGAGGTGAACGTTGAGAGCAGTGGTGTGTCAGGTACAACACTGAAGGCCTGAATGTCATTCTTACTGTTTCTCTGGAACAAGAGCCGAGGTATCACATAGCATGCACACTAACACACTTACACACACACACACACACACACACACACACCTTGTCACTGTGGAAATATTCATCTATATGCAAGAAGAAAGTGTATGTTTTAATATTGGGGATCTTCTGTTCTTTCAAAAGCAGAAACATGTTATGTGTTATCTTCTGCATGCTTGTTATGGATGGTCTGTTGTGATTGTGTGTGATTGAATGTGTTTGTCCGTCACAGTGAGAGCCGATCTGACAAGGGTTTCATGCAGACAGGTCATGTTGTGGTTTGAATGTTACACACAATGAATTTTAAAGGAAGAGAGGTCTGTCTCTGACACATGCACACACTGAATTTCAAGACAGCAGAGATGAACAGGTAATGTGTTATGAGGTATAAAATCCAATCCAATGCTTTTTAACCACCTTTTCTGTCTCATTAAAGAGTGAGAACAAGTAATATTGTTCCTGTATTCGTTTACTAGTGAGCTTTTTTCAGTGGCTAAGGCACAGGAATTAAAATGATATAAACTAATACTATTGTGCCACATTTATTCAGACTACATTTGTGATAGTGCACTAATTTTTGATATTTTACATGAGATAGAGCAGGCTATGAAACAATTAAAGTTTATGTACCAAGGAATTACATTAGTTAAATCAGTTAAACAAATCCACTTTGTCAAACAAACAAATAAATATATATATACAGTATGTATCCATGTATATAGTTAGTTCAAGAAAATTAGTTCAAAATATATTCTCTGAAAATCTCTTATCTGACACAATTTTGTTTATCGAACAAATTAATCTTGTTTTAAAGGATGTTTAGTTATTTTACTGAAAAACAAGACAAAATACAAAGACAAGACAAAATAATACAAGACAACAATGAAACAATTAAAGTTTATGTACCAAGGAATTACATTAGTTAAATCAGTTAAACAAATCCACTTTGTCAAACAAACAAATAAATAAATATATACAGTATGTATGTATGTATATAGTTAGTTCAAGAAAATTAGTTCAAAATATATTCTCTGAAAATCTCTTATCTGACACAATATTGCTTATCAAACAAATTAATCTTGTTTTGAAGGATGTTTAGTTATTTTACTGAAAAACAAGACAAAATACAAAGACAAGACAAAATAATGTGCTATATATATGCATGTCAACATATTTGTTACATATTGACACAACTAGCACATATTGACACAACTAGCATTCAAATTTGCTATCTTTACAAAATACAAAGACAAGACAAAATAATACAAGACAACAAAAATAATGTGCTATATATATGCATGTCAACATATTTGTTACATATTGACACAACTAGCATTCAAATTGTGCTGAAAAATCATATTTTGCTATCTTTAAAGCAGTCATGGTGTTGGAAGATACCAATTTTACTTATTAAAAATCACAGATACATTCTTTGCATTTGTCCCTTTTTAACCCAGCGCTGGTTTATATTTAACCCAGCATTTTTTCGAGTGTGACAAAGCTGAATCAACGTATTGTGAACATTTTATAAATTTATAAATTTCTCTCTCTATTTATTTATTTATTTATTTATTTGAAAAGTTATTTCAAATAAATGCGGAGATGTTTATTAGCATGTCAAATCATGGGATATGTTTTGTCCCGTGTGTAAAGAATCAGTTATAATTAAGTCCCATTTTACAAGTAACTTACAGTTTTCTATGCACCTATGGATGTTTGTAACGAATTTCTTTAGATTGTGTCAGACAGCCCCCTCATATTTCCCAGCGCCTACGCAGGAATACAAGCTCATACACACACACAAGGACTGTAGGGTCTGAAATGACGAGAGATGAGAGGAATAAGACAGGAAGTGGTTCTTCTCGAGACGTCTTTCTATCTTTCTGTTTCTTTCTCAGGCGTAGGAGAGTTTCATATCCTGTAGCGCAATTCGACACATTACGCTGCAGAACTACATTACCCAGAATGCTCCAGTATAGACAATCATTCTCAGGGATGACTAAATATGTTGCTTAAAAAGGAAGCTGTTTTTCGATAATTGTCATTTCTTCTTCCATTTTTCTCTCTTACCTGTTCATGTTACACTGCGGCAGAGCAGGTAAGTGTATCTTTAGAGATAAAATGTCACAATCAAAGGACATAATGACTCAAAATGACTCAGGATGGGTATTCTCTTTGTACTGTCTGAAATTAAGGTGATTCTTTCAGTATCATTTTCAGAGGTATCTTCCCTGTCCTACACAATCCTTCCTCTCTGACTCACTGTTGGCCAGATGACACAAAGTGTGGAAAATCCTAAAGGTTCAAGTGATGATTTTTTTTTATATATCTCTGCTTATTTTTGCCTATGTTTTTTTTGCTAATTTCAACATCCTGAGGTGCTTAAATGCATATGTCGCTTATCTGATGATGCACAATCTCTTAAGTTTTGGCTTAACTGTCATAAATAGGTGATTGTGCAAGGCTTTGATGCTTTATGGGTGGATTGTGTGTGTGTGTGTGTGTATCAGAGCGCTCGTGTGGTAAGAGAACAGTGCAGGTGTTTCCTGTTGTAAAAAAGAGAACAGAATGTGTGGTAGGGTCGCATACAACGAATGTGTATATGCATGCGTGTATTGATTTTGTGTGTTGTGCAGACCACAGCACTTTGTAAATTGGCCAAATTTGGACTGAGGCATATTTGTAATATATATACAGTATCAGTCTCTCGTACACACATTATAGTTTAAAGCCTAGTTCTTTAAAGGGAGAGTTCACCCAAAAATGACAATTCTGTCATCATTTACTAATTTCCATGTCATTTCAAAAATGGACTGATTAACTGTTATTGTCCGTGCAGTTTAAGTTATTGAAGTCCAAAATAACACTGGACCCCTTTGTCTTTTATTGTATGGACAAAAAACACAGAATGTTTTTGTTTAAAAAAAAATAAATAAAAAAATCATAAATGCACCATTAAGCTTACGTCCTATTTGCTTCACTTGCACATTAAGTGCATTCAAATAGAGTAGTAAATAAAATAATTTTTTCACTTCCTCTTTTGTGGTTTATATATATTGCAGTTTGAGTACAGTCCTGTTGTTACCTAATGCCACCTTTTATTTGATTAAAAATAAAAATAACTCATAAGCTATACCAAAAGCTTGAATAAGCCCAGTGTATAAATGTAGTTCATTTTCATTCTTCTCATTAAACCACACACCCATGTTAAGTTGACTTCTAGAATCAGTACAAAATATTTCGGAATACCTTAACTTGCGAAACATTTATTAAGAGATTTACACCGTATTTCACAATGCAGATATAGTGTTTTTCTGTGTTAGCACAACGTGGTTTCAGTGAATTCAGCGAGAGACGTTCTCCTGTTGGGATGTGGTTTCGGGGTCTGAACTCTTTAGTTCTCCAAAAGCACGGCCTACATCACCCCATCTCCATAAACCACATAACATATACTCCCTCTTTCTGTTGCTCTGTCGTCCTCTTCTCCTCTTCCTTTCATGTAATGCGAGTAGTAGAGCGCATCTCCTTTGTTTTTACATCTCGCCTGAGCGTTCATTTGATAACAATTTTATAAAAACATTCCACTGCCTAGTTACGTATGGCACGAAGTTGTCGTGCCATACGTATGGCTGCATGTTGGGGATATTATAAATAACTCTATTCTGTGCATTTTCCTCTGATGTCTTCTATGCATCAGGCCTTAGCCTCATGACTTTCCTGGACAAGCAAATTGTCAGGCTGCTGTGCAAAGTGATACAATCACTGCAAATCAGAACATATCTGATGTATGATATATAATCATAACCAAGAGGGTCTGTACATTATCGTACAGCACTGAAGTAGAGAATAGCTCAAGCAAGGTGAACGCTATCTCTGTTGTCTTCATAATCGTTCTCACCAGCGCACACTTAACCTTCACACTGACAACCAAACCTGGAACCTCAGAATAGAGTGTTTCAGAATGGCTTTATATAACATGCTCGCTTTATGTCCTGCACGTATGTACTGTCATAATGAAGACATTATGTATCATGTATTACATATTATCTGAGGCTTATAGAATTTTCAAAGTAGTATGTCATTTAATAATTTCTGTACTTTCCTAAAACTACTTTTCTGTTTTGTGTGTGTGTGTGAGAAACCGCTCGTATACCTGTGGCTGACTATCTCAGATAGCAGATGCAGTTCATTGTATATCGACAGAAGAGATAATGAACAGTATAACCTCTACTAAAACTGTTTTTAGCAAAAGGCGTATTTGAATTGAGGTCTGGGGACCCCCAGGGGGTCTCCAGAAGGGCCCACACTGTCCGCAGGAAATTTCAGTTAAAAAAAAAAACAAGGAAAGAAAGAAAACAAATGTTGTTTTTTATTGTAAAAAATGCTATACAAATAGCTTTAACTCATCAATGCACATCTTGAATAATAATGTTTATTTTGGCTCTAGTAACACAATTAAATCACAATTTTTTACACAGTAAATATGAGTCTTAAAATAAATAGCTAACTTTATGTTTTAGGAAGAGGGTCCTTCTCAAGGGGATTGCCATATTTTTAGCATTAATAAGTTTAATCATTCTTATTTTTAATAAAACACGCCTTTGTTTAACGTATGTAAACATATTTTCCATGGTTCGCTGTGCGTGACAAACCACACAGAGCTAAACTCTTTTTTATTAAAACTCCTTTTTTTAAGTGACCTCATAAAGATTATGAAATCAATCTTTTAAGAATAAGAACTTCACGACTGAAATCCTCATCTTATAGCTTTA